TGCCGTCCATCTTTATATACAGTCCACGGTACAGACAGACCGCCTCTGCAGGCTACGGACACCTGAGCTGTTTTCAGACATGAACAAATGAACACAGCAGGGGATTGGCCGAGGCAGACAGGCTCACAACAACAGGTAAAACGTCTGGAACATTAATGCCAGGGGTGTTTCCTGAGTACTGCATACATGAGGCAGAACATGATGTATAAATTCTGCAGCAGTTACTTGTTTCACGGTTGTCGGCCCTTATTGCCAAAACCTCTCGGATCTCATTGTCTTTCCAAGTTGACTCTTTGTCCACATCTTCTACATATATGGCTCCTGAGACATTTGTATTCTTGCGGTTTTGCGTCCATCGCATGTTCAAAAGATTCGCTGGTAATGTTCCTCCTGAATTCTTCCATGGGCTCATTTGGACTCGCAGGAAAAGGTTCCATAGAAAGTCTGGAGCAAGTAAACTCACATACAGCGACTCAGGAAAATGTCAGTAAAATGTCTGAAAGCAGCCTTCACAGAGTTGAGCTGAGATGGTAAAGCACAGGATGGGACACAGTGAGTAATTGAAAAACATCCCAGACAGGATGTGGTTACAAGGGAGATAGATTACACTTTGTTGAAAAGGATATGAAGGAAAGTAATGAGTCAGTATTTCAGTAATTGTCCTCAGCTAAGAATAAGCATCGACTGAGACGAGTCCGAGACTGCGGGCCTCTCTTTAGACGGCGCTCGGATCACTGTGTCACCAAATCCTAATTGCAAGGTGACCATTCTGTTTGAGAAGGGAGACAGTGATGCCGGACTCACATGATGAGTACGTCTGTGCAGCTTTTAATGAGCCTGTGCTGCTGTAAACATACTTCCCGCTTTTCCACTGGTTATTATCATAAAAGAAAAACCTTAAGGCATATTTTAATTCAGTTTTTTTTCATTATTCCTTTCAGTGATATTGTTTGTTGTTGTTCCTCCTGTGCACCAGTTAAATCAAATAAACTATGAAAGTGTCCAAAGAACAGTGTAATTACTCCCAACTTCAGTTTCAGAGCAAATCATCCCTTTGAACACAACCTCATCAAACGGAAGTATTAGTTTCTGTAAAGTGCAACACGTGCCGGCACATTTCATGTGTCAGTTGGCGCCGGCGGTTGGGAACAGGCACATGGTGCAGACAGAAAAATTAGTCAGGGTACAGTAACTGGGATGTGCCGATCTGGGCAGCAAATGTGACAAAATTGCTGCTTTTCTGGTGAGATGAAGCGAGTCAACCCACAGTGACGTGTGACAAGGCTGCACTGACGTGTGGGCTCACATTGAAATTAATGAGTGGGAGTGTTTTGATGCGTGTCGTACACTGCTGCCGTGTACTGCTGCACTAATAAGTATTCTTATATCAACAGTTGGTCAAATGACTGTGTATGATGTGAAAGGTACTGGAGACAAACCCACGCAGAATATTTTCAACTGTTTAGTTTATCACTGTTAACATCGTTGTCTTTTGTACGTCAAACAGTTCCGACAAGCCTCAAATACATTAATGTCTGAGAAACACTGATGAATATCCTTCAATGTGGTCTGAGGCGTCGGATCACCCAAGATGATGTTATTACAAAGTCTGACCAGGCCCTCGAATTCATCGGCTGGCTGGAAACATGACTTCAGTGAATGCTAATTTGAACTTTTTTGGAGTTAAGGGGCTCAATTTGAATTGTTATCATGGTGAGGATGTCATCAAACAGGGAGGGTTATTCATTCTAATCTCGAGGTGGTCTGTAGTTGTTGGGAAGGCAGGAGCGTACAGTGTTTTTACAACCTTTTAATATGAAAACTGGAGAAACAAATCTTCACTCCATCAGCTCCAGTATTGTACTCTGAGCCATTTAGCGTCTCTTTATTCTGAAATAGAGACTGGCTATATTTTCACTGATTGTTCTTATGTTTACCATCAATATGAATTTTATGAAATACTGGAAGAAGAATATTGTAAATAGTATTTTCATCAAGGGAATAAATACATTTTTATTTTGTTTTCATTTTAACGAGCCCCTTCTTTACATTTTAATACTTCACATACAGTTCACACATGACTTTTTAATATAAGCATAATACATATTACAGATTTTCTAAGTCCAATAAATGACTTAAATTGTGAAAATCTACTGGTTTGTGAATATTTATATGTATTTAATTACTTTCTGAATTCAGATAAAGACAAATATTCAATAGATTGTAAGTTATTCAGTGCTGCTGTGGAAAAAAATGTGTTTTTGCGTGTCTTGGAATAAACAGCCCATTTTATTATTAAGCAAATAAACAATCTATTCTCCAGGATGATTGTTAAGCCAAATGTTCTGAGGCCATTCTAACACTTGTGGCAGGAAGCATTGCAGCAGAGTTTAGCCACTTCCAGCAGCTTGTTCAATAGAAATCATAAGAAACTGAGATGGTACTTTGCAGGACAAATCAATTGATTTTTATGGTACCGGAGAGATAGATGAAGGAACGTGTGCACAGAATGTGGATACTGATGAATTGCCGGGCCAAGTGGATTCTCACAACACCTGACAAGACCACGACTCAAGATTCACCACTTGCAATCCCCTGCAGGAGAGGGGGGGGATTGGTGAAGCACAGGAGGGAAAAAAATCAAGCGGTTGAAATGAAGAGATAAATCAGAGAGTGAAACAGTTCTAATAATGGAAGCTGGATAAACGTCATTGGCTGAGAGCAGCCGCCATTAAACTTGTGATATCCTTACATGACGGATGAAATGGTGTGAAATACAGCTGCCACCTCCTGTCATACCCTTGTTAACACCTTCTATCATGAGATTCGTTCACAAACAGCCGCTGAGAAGCCATTGACCTCCATGAAGTCCTCAAAGGTTTCTCAGCCCCTTTTCTCCCAAATCACAGGCATCATGATGCTTGTTAAAGGACAATGGCACAGTCTCGGTCCTAGAGGTCAAGGACGGCTTCGCTATTCCAATCATCAACATCATATAGATAAATTCTCCTGTAGCTCCCAACAACACAGTGTGTCTGTGTCAATCTTTAAGACATTTATTTGACACTTGCAATTAAAAGCTTACTATAGCTTGTGTAAAATACAAAACATAGTCAAGAGTACGTACGGGAAAATACTGTTGCAGCATTTCCTCTTATATTGCAACTGAATACCTCCTTCAATAGGTGGCACTGCTCTGTGCTGGTGACAAACTTTAACGTACATCAGTGTGAATTACAGCGAGTACTTGTGTTTTTTGTTTGACCTCTGAGTTCTACTTTGTATTTCGGACACTGGACAAGATATAATGGTGAGGTGACCATATGGTATACTGTCATCCTCCATGCCAGGGTTTGAAAGTTTCCTGTTACATGCAGCATCTTCAACTTTACTAACCTCAAACTCATCATGTCACCATGTTAATCACGACAACGCTTTTAGGGAACTTTGAGGCATTAGCAAATCAGCCATTCAAAGCATATGCAAAGGTCAACATTGGTCAGGAAGGGGGCGGTCAGCGTATAGCATGATTCATGACCGTCATTTGGTTTGAAAAATGAATGCGGGGGTGCCTGATAAATCATCACCCGCACCGTCCTTTGACAAAATCACTGAACTGCCATAATCTCCTGTGCCCTTTGGATGGGCACATGTGCTGACTGCAAGGTCAAGATGAATGGGAGAAACTTGAGCACCTCTCTTTGAAACGGGGACGTAGACAAGGTGGTGTATCGCTCAATAATGACATTTAATATCGACCACTTGTTGCCGATCTGAATAGGTCCCTCCTGAGCTGGAACTTCAAATGAGGTACTGACGTGTTCTCTTCCAAATACTTATACCCAGACGAAAAAAAAGTGCATATGAAACAGAGACCTGTTATTACTTGAGGCTCTGGCTGCAGAGTGCTAATGGCGGATGCCAATGTCGCTCCTTTCTTCTGAAAGTGCAAATAGGGGTCCGGAAGTCATTTGCTAACACATTGGCTTTATCAAGCTGTAAGGTGATAATATGTAAATCCAACTCTTGCATGTTTGGTAATATCCTCAGATCATTAAAAATAAATTGCTGATGTGTTCGCACTGCACTTGCAGCTAATGCTAACTGCAAATCCCTGCATTTATTCTGAACAGAAAATACAAAAGCTTAATACTAATTAACCGCAGTACTTTTTTCTTGTACGTGTTCCCCAATCTGTGATAATGGTGCATTGTGGTGCAAACTGCTATTTCTGCTAGCATGTGTGTGTCTGCTATTTCTGTATCGCTCACAGTTTTAATTTGTGAAGTTAAAATAAGCATTGTTAAGATTTGCAACAGGCAGCTGCTCTGTATAATTAAAAATGCAAAAAGGATCTTAAATGACAGCGTTCATGTGCTCAAAGCTTTCTGTGCCCGACGCTGCCGAGCAGGTGTTTCAGGAAAACGCTTCCTTTGTAACAAAAGGAAAGTTATGTTCCATGCGAGAGCAGCCAGAGGCCAACGTCCAGCACTGAGGCTCAATGTCTGCTCACGTGTGATTATCCAATCTCTTTCTCAGAGAGAAAAAAGCCTTGACACCGAGGCTCTGCCTTCACAGCAGATTAATCTGCAGCAGTGTTGATGCTAAACTTGGACTCTGTGCAATCTTCTCAATGCCAGAAAATGTTTGATTATACTTTAAAATATGGAAGCAGCTTGAGGATTGGTTGGGCTGCACTGCTCAGCAACAAGCAGAGTTGGAAACATCACTGGCAACACAAGATAAATAAATTGCCCCATGTGTTTGCTTCATCTATTTAAATGTAATAAACTAAAGCTTTTTCCACATTTTATTCCACTCTACTCTTCAGTTCTCTCAGGGGACAAACCAAATAAGCATTAATAAGTGCAAACACACATGCTCACTGGCTAAAGCACACCTGCAGCCTCTTTAAAACCATACATGCATATGTGTGTGCAAAAATGTTCATATTTATTTTTGTCTCTTTGTCTTTCTCTCTTTCTCTGTTGCTAAAATAGGAATATCAGTGATGAGCAGTGCAGCTGGAGACAATAAACTGGTAGAAGAACCAATTACCAGCAGGTGACAAGCCGGTGGTTCAGGGCTTTCAACGTGTCATTATCTGCACATCGACATTTCCAAGAGCCCTGACAGGCCATTTCTGAGGCTGCCATGGCAAGCCACCATGATAAACCCAGGAAGGAGGGAGACGAGAGGTGGGGGAGGTAAGAAAAACCCTGCGCCATCCACAAGTCCCCTTCTTTTCACACACTCTTTCACTCACTTTCACAGCACAAGAATGCACACACAATGTGGAAGCAGGTTCGCATACCCAGAGGACTTTTTTTTTCCCTCTTCTTCCTCTCGCTTCTTTTCTTCTTGCTCATTATATATAAACATATAGATACAAACATAAACATATCTCTCTTTTACTTCAGCCTCCCCACGTTGTCGAGCGGCTCAAAGATTATTCCCTTTATATGTGAAATGGTAATTGTATTTCTCTAATCTAATCCCATTAGAACCCCGTACCTCCTCTGCAAACTTCCCCGAGGCAATTACACAAATGTCAATGAATTAAGTAATAGCTTGGTGCCAAGCCAGGGGTGCTCACCGTTGATCACTGCTGTCAGCAGAAAAACACATCTGTCAACAACAGTGTGCATGCCTGCATGGGCACATACACACACACACACACACGGCCATTGGTGTTGTTCTGCAAACCATTTAACCTCTCTGTAGGACACACACTCACACATTGCTGGCACTCTACAACCCATTTAACTCCTGTCCAGAGCACACGCACACACAAAAGAGAAGAAAATGCAGCTGGTAAAAACCCGAGTGTGTTGCTCTTTGTAGTGGAAACTGTCCCTGTCCCAGAGTTGCACCGGCTTCATCTGTGTTACAGATAAGACGCCGCAGCGGGCTAAATATTCTCTGGACTTGTTGAGCTGCAGGCAACGAATACAAATTCAGGTATTACTGTATGTGTGTAACCGCTGTATACAATGAGGCAAGACAGCTGTTGAGGTTACTTCACACAAGCACATAGATCATGCTTTACTGAGCTCTGCTGGGTGGAGGAGGCTTTGTGTGCATGATACAAGTGATGGTGGTGAACTGAATAGACTGAGCCTGACAGGAAGTGTGTAGAGAGCGAGAGCAATAGGATTATTACCTTTTCTTGGGGGATTCACATCTGATCAAGCTGAATTAAAATGTAAATGTGCGTGCATGTGCTAAGTAATAAGAGGGTAATGTGTTTTTATGATTTAAGGTGAGTTTTGCATCACTATGCTTCGGTTTATTAAGTTGTTACTGGCAGTTTGTAAATGTGCAATTAAAGAGGGAGGCCACACAGACCCTGATCCCTTGCTCACCACCACTGAATCCTGGTCCAGTGCTTATACGTGGGAGATAAAGATGTGAAACTATAGTGAAATGAAATATGAAATTCAATTTAAATTCAATGACACTAATATGGATAATAATCCCTATTTAATAGATTTATGGGAAAATGGGTCCATCTATGATTGCTCTGATCAATGAGATCATCTATCTGCCCTCAAGCTGACAGATATGGATTTCTGGGGACAGGTGCAGATATTGCAATAGGGAGTACAAAATTGCAATATCAATATGGCTGCTGTAACTATATGTATAAAAATTGGCAATGAATCCAAAGATGTTCTTATGAAACTCAAAGAAATGTTATTAAGACTTGATGTTTTAAATCTTAACCATGAACTTTATCATGAATAACTAGAAATAAGAAGAAAGCAAAATATATAGAACTGGAATTAAAAAAATATATTTTCTGCATCGTATTTTCTGTAAAATAAATGTTTTAATATCAGAGCATATCAGCAAACTAACGCAGATACATCTGTTAAAGGGTCATATCACAGTCAGTACTTTTACTACCAATAAGGTGCATTTTTATCATAATAGAACATGCTCTGATTAAACTTTACACCTGCAATATGCATGTATTTTTTGAAATCATCCTGTAATCTCACTGTAGTCGTGAAGTTTATCTGTATACATTCCAGGTATGAAAGTGATTCAGTGGTTGTGCAGCTGTGAACCACTGAGGTGAGGTGTTTGGGACAAGAAAGGTTCTGAGCCAGCACGATGCCTCTGCTTGTTCAAGTGATGATAAATCCACATCAAGCCTCACTGAAGAGCAGCAAAGTTTTGTTTTGCCTCTCAGCTGGACGGCTCTTGTCAGGAATGAGCATTTATTTCACCTCCCCGGCTCATTTCTTTTATTTCCTGGTCGTCAGCTCATTTCTGGCAGCCGTCACAGCGGAGGATTTGCCGTTTTACACACATTGTTTATCACGTCTGCATATGCATCTTTTGCCTCATTCTTTAAATCACAACAGTGCAGTGGAGCACAGATGACACCGTTTTCTGCCCAGTGGCACCATCTGGCTGCGGAGGATTCCTTTAATTCTCTTTCTTATCCTCCCTCCCTGCCTCCCTCTCGCTCGTCTCTCCCACCAGCTCCTAAGAGCTTCCTCCCTGGTCGTTTCTCCGGCTTCACAAACATCCTCAGACTCGCAGTGCGCTTATTCGTTCATCTTCCCTTCTCTCTCTCTCTCTCTTTCTCTCTCTCTCTCTCTCTCCCCCCCCTCTACTTTCTTCCCCACACTGCATGCCCATCCCTCAGTGTTCCTCTCCCTCCCTCGCTCTTTCTCTCTCCTTCACCCCCGTCTCTCTGTTCGTTGCTGACAGCTCCGCTCCTCAGGAGCACTGAGGGGAGCAGAGAAAACAAAGATTTGGTTCAGTGGCTCTGATCATGATTTTCTGCAGATTGGATGGAAGATTAGGAGGAGCTTTTATTCATACACCACACAATCAGCGCCCACCCCCCTGTCAACTGCAAAAGCATGACTGCCGACCACAGGGGTTGCAGTCATCAGCACAAATGTGCCATCTGTGACAAGGCGTCTCTGTGTTTTCTACCTTAAACCACGACTAGCTGGGGAACTCAGTGTACTGAACACAGGTCCCAGAAGAAGTTGGTGTGAAATGCAGGATGGGAAAGAGAGTGAAACAACGGCACAGTGCACATAAGCTTAAAGTAAACTATCCCATCACAAACGGAAGGAGGGAAAAATCCTAGTCTAACACCTTTGTTTTGCTGAGCTCTGGTCCCTTCACACTCACATACTCAGTGAATCCAGTTTATTCAGAGCATGGCAGTTATTTGTATGACTAATTAAAAATTATGAGAACCTGACTTATATCTGGGCTCAATGCTGATATTAGAGATTAAAACAGCTCAGATTATTGGCTGATTTACACATTAAGAGATGTCATGATGACAAATAAATGTAGCTGAGGCTTGATTTTTTTGCAATTTAACCCAAAATAAAAAGAAAGGAAAGTATATAGATCTTGAATTAAGAAAACAATTGCACATCCTCTCTGTATTGTTTACTCCCTAAAACAAAAATCAAAGTATTCATCAATTTCAAGTACACAAGCTATACAACAGAAAATACAACAAACGCTGATACCGATATGGTTTTTATTTATATAGATACATCTGTGAAAGGTTATATTGGCCAATTTCATCAGCCAGTCAATATGTATTGTTTGGGCTTCAATCATTAGTTTTACTAACCCATGGCCTAACTGAGAAATAAATGCTAGTGTTTCCAGGAATGTGCAACCCCCTCATCCTCCTGCAGAGAGTTTCACACTGAGAAGATGAAGTGGAGGAATAAAAGGAGCTCAGAGGAGTCGGCAGTAATCCGAGGATTTAAGGGCAGAAAGGCAGGAGAGGACAATGATGGGACAAACAGGGATTACAAGTGAGATACAGATTGTTAGTTAGTTCAAGTATGAATAACCTCGAACAGATAGCAGGACTTTTTCAATGCACGTGATCCAGTTTACAAGCTTATTATACCCACAGTTCCTACTTAGGTGATGGGCGGAGTCGGAACAGTGAACCCGGCAGGTTTCCGGTGAGCCCCGTTTCCATTAGGCGCTCTGTGATGCCTGACAACTCCCCAGTCATTGATCATGTCTCCACACGAGCCCACGCTTTACTCGCCACTTTTACTAGAAAGACGCTGGGGAAGTTTTACTTTTACACTTTCATTGGTGGAAAATAAATCACTTTTTTTTTTTTCTCCTCATCCCTTTTCAGGCTAAAATAGGGAGCAGTGAGAGGGAAGAAAAGACAAGGAGAGAAGAATCAGTCGCACACTCATCAGACAGGGCTTTCAGCTTCTCCTCTTTCATCTCGCTCACTTTATTCCTGCTTTGATTTTAGATTTTACAACACCCTCTCACATTCTCGAGAGCTTGAGATTCCACAGCCTTGGCGGACAAGATTACAGCAATAAAGTTGTGTCTTATAACACCGGCAATGTAACTACCCGTTCATCTGGAAGGAGGAGAGAGGAAGTGAGGGTGTAAGTCAAAAGAGCTGGAACACAAGCAGCAGATTTGCAGGTTAATATTCAGTGGGTGGTGTGGAGTAAACAAACTTTATAACATCTATTTATATACTATTTACTTCAAGTGCATGTAAGTGTTTACTGCTAATTAGCAAAGTATTACCATGCTCACACACTCAATCTATAATAGTGAGGAAAATACCAACCAAACTTCACGTTTCCACTGTTATAGAGTGTATATTAAAGATGGAGACCATCTTTATCGCCCCCGGTGGCTGGCTGCAGTGTGGTCATAGACCCTGCTTCCACCATGTTAACAGATTGGACTTGGACCAAATTAAAAAGTCTTCAAATACTAATTCTTTCAGCTACGTTATGTTTTAAAAACCTCCACTAAGGGGGGGTATTGTTTTTCTCTTCTGTCAGTTTGTTGGTTGGTTTAAGAGGATTATGCAAAAATTACTGGACTGATTAGTAAACTTGGTCTCAGGATGTGGATCTAGATTAAATAGATCAGGTATATTTAGGGGGCTGATGTTTATTAGTGTGTGAAATTCGGGCCTTGGCGGAGGTTGTGTTCCACTGGGGGTGAAATGGCAGCTGAGACTGACTCCTGAGAGGGTCAAGCACGTGTAAGAGTGTGACCTTGAAACAGCGATTCCACATCTTGATCACTACAACGCAAACTCTAGCTCAATTTTGACGCTCCAAATGACGTAAAAAGTGCAAGATGGCGGAACCTGTAATGGGTACGTTGCACAGTACAGCCTCATAGAGTTGTTTACTTATTAACCACTAGAGTG